ATGATATGGTCAGTTATGCTTATGATTTTCCTAATATTGAACCAGCCCTACATTCCTGAAATAAACTCCACCTAGGTTAATACAATCCTTGTGATACATAATATAATCTCCTTTCTAGTATTTTATTTGTATTTTTTCCATAAATATCATTAGGGAAATTGGTCTATGTTTTCTTTCTGTTTTTGTTCTCCCTGCTTTAGGTACCAAAACCATACTGTATCATAGAAGGATTTTTATAAGACTCTATCTTCACTTACTTTTCCAACAGTTCATGTAGTCCTGGAATTATTTATTAAATATTTGGTAGGACTTGTTTATAAATCCATCTGGTCCTGGAGTATCTTTTTTAGACAGATCAATTATGGTTTACTCAATTTCTTTCTTTTTTTAAGATAAGATTTAGGGGCAGCTACGTGGCACAGCGAATAGAGCACCGGCCTTGGAGTCTGGAGGACCCGAGTTCAAATACGGCCTGGGACACTTCTTACTTACTAGCTGTGTGACCCCGGGCAAGTCACTTAACCCCACCTTCCCAGCCAAAAAAAAAAAAAAAAAAAATAAGATTTAAATATTCTATTTCCTGTTCGGTTAATTTGGACAATTTATATTTTTTATAAATATTCATCCATTTCATTTAGATTGTCAGTTTTATTGACATATAATAAGGCAAAATAATCTCCTAATAACTGCCTTTATTTCCTTCATTGGTTATGAATTCACTTTTAAAAAAAATTTTTAAAAACATGGTAGGGCCATGTTTTTCTTTTTGTTTTTGTTCTAACACTTGATGTTTTGACTGCCCACAGACAGCTGATTCTGATCAGTTTCTCACAGCAATAATCAGGAATTTCTTGTCTGTTAAAGTCATCACTTTTCATTTTTGTGTAATTTTGTTCTAAGTTCAAACTCATTGCTTTCTGACTCTCACCTGAAATGAAACATTAATGATCTACAACAGAGATATCAAATACACTGCCCACAACACTCCCAAGTGGGACTGAAACAGATTAAAATGTAATTAGGAAATATTTAACAAAATAAACATAAGTACATAGGAACATAGATGATGTTAATATGTGGATTTCTAAGTCAATATGTGGCCTGCAGGGATCATTATGTATGGTTTAGGGGTCCCCATCTATTTGAGTTTAATATCACAGTTTTACAAGAGTGAAGCTTCTAAGTAATCTATGAGCTTTTGGTCTAATTTCCTAACCATGATCCATAGTTTTCAATGTTTAGTTTCTAAAATTCTTTCTGATCTACTGTTATGATGTATGTAGCTTGCCAGTTAAAACAGACGTATTTGAGCACTACAAGATGGACAGTTCCAATATCCAGAGTTAAGACTGAACACAGAGGACATTATGAAGTTACTTGACATCCTAAGAAAAATGAGCTGACAAAATTTTCAGAGGATATCAATTGTTAACTTATCATCTAAGCGCACTAGAGAAACCAGTTAAAGGGTGACAGTCAATGGTGGAGATGATTAAGATCTTACAGAAGGTGTAACTTGAGGAAATGTGTAGTATAGAAAGATGGATGCACTCAAAGACATTATGTCAGGAGAATCAAAAGGACTCACTTGTAGATTGAGTGTGGGAAATAAAAGAAAGGAAGAATAAGAAGACAAAAAGTCTCCCAGATGGTTATGTGAGGGCCATTGAAGAATGTGGTATAATGACAGCATCATAGAACTTAAGATGGAGTACCACTTTATAATATAGTTTATAAGTGTGACTCACACATCACTGAGATGGCCAGAAGTGTCTATGCCAGACTGGTATGTTTATTTTTCAGGCCTCTTTTGCCTCTGGCAGGAATTGTGAGGCAGTGCCCTAGAATGATTCCTGCCCTTAGAATCCATTTTATTCTTTATCCCTTCTTGCATATTTCTGTCTGGTCTCAGAAGAATTACATAACATATAGGAATAAAGATACAGGTCAGTAACCCACCACGAGAGGTCAAGATGGAGATCTCCACAGCCACTACTGCCTTCCCTTTGGTTCTCTGGTAGGTGGGGAGAAAGGAGATTCACACACTGCAGAACACTAGAATGCTGAATGTTATACACTGAGCTTCACTGAAGATATCAGGCAGGCTCCTGGCCAGAAAAGCCACAGTGAAGCTCTGCAGGGCCAGGAAGCCCATGTATCTAGGACACAAAAGAAGAAAATGACAGAAGCCCGCATTATATCCAATGATGATGTGGCCGTGTTCAGAGAACATGTCTGCCTCTGAGAATGGTGAAGAGGTTCCTAGCTAGATGTCACAGAGAATCAATCGGATTACAGAGCAAAGGAGAACTACACAGCTGGTCACTCTAGGATGCATCCACATCCTAATCCTAGTCCCTGGATTTGTAACCCTGAAAGGGGAACCACTGTGATGGTTTTTGTTAAAATAGAAGTGATTGTAACTCCAAATATTCTTTGTCAGAGGAGGCAGGTGGCTGTTGCAGGATAGGCTATAAAGAACAAGAAGCAGAGAAAACAGAAAGCAAGAGAGAGGAGGAGAGTATACCTGAGAGCCTGGTTATTGGCTTTAACTAGGGTGGTGTCTTGGTACTTCACAAAGACCCAGAGAAACAGAACTATCAGCATAGAGAAGAAAATAGTCGAAGATGCTAGAGTCATACCCAAAGGTTATGTGAAATCTAGGAACCTAGGGATCTTGGGAATGGGCAGCTAGGTGGCCCAATGGATAGCACACTGGGCCTGGAGTCAGGAGAACCTGAGCTCAAATCCAGTCTCAGAAAATTACTAGCTGTGTGACCCTGGGCAAGTCACTTAACCCTGTTTGCCTCAGTCCCTTATCTGTAAAATGAGCTGGAGAAGGAAAGGGCAAACCACTCCATTATCCTTGCCAAGAAAACCCCAAATGGAATTACAGAGAGTCAGACATGACTGAAATGATTCACAAGAACAGAGATCTTGGGAAGGCAGCAATCTTTCTCTTCACTGTGATACTTCTCATCTGGGCACATTATACAATACTTTGCATCTTTCTATGCTTCTCTTGAGTCCTGTGTTTGTCAAATTTTCTATTCACTTCTGGTCTTTTCATTAGGAATGCTTAAAAGTTCTCTATTTCATTAAATATCCATTTTTATTCTCGTTCGTAATCCTGGCTCCTTTGCCTTTTGGAATATCACATTCCAAGCCCTCCACTTCTTTAACGGGGAAGCTGCTATATCTTATATATGATCACAACTGTTACCTCACGATATTTGAATAGTTTCTTTCTGGTTGCTTGCAATATTTTCTCCTTGAAATGGAATCTCTGGAATTTGGTTATAGTATTCCTGGGAGTTTTTCTTTTGGGCTCTATTTCAGGGGGTGATGGATGAATTCTTTCAATTTCTATTTTACCCTTTAATTCTAAAATGTTAACCAGGAGAACATTGTACACAGTAACAGCCACATTATGGGATGACTGACTTGGATAGACTTGGCTCTTCACTGCAGTGCAAGAATCTAAGGCAACTCCAAAAGATTCATGATGAAAATTGCTATCACACCCAGAGAAAGAACCACGGAGTCTGAATGCAGATGGAGGCCATACCATTTACTCTCCTTTTTCTTGTCGTTTTGTTTTATTGCTTCATTCTCATGGTTCCTTCCAGTAGTTCTAATTGTTCTTTATGTCATAGCTAATGGGAAAATATACTTAATATGAATGTATAAGTAGAGCCTATATCAGATTGTGTGCCATCTTGGGGGGGGAAAGTGGGAGGGGGAGAAAATTTA